TAGTTTTTTGTAAAAAAATTTATCACGTAGTTTGAACAATGCGTTTTTCTTCCTCTCATATAGCTTACAATATAAGGTGAGCCTCTTTTCCATGGTATGATGAGTTATATTCCAAGTTTGGTTCAGCTTCCAATATTTTAAAATTTGTACTCTTAATGTCTTGAAATAGTCCAAAGTTCAATGTTAAGTTTCTTTGCCAATGTAATTTCCTCTGGGACATCTTCAATGTTTAAGTCATATCCATTTTCTCCATTCATATTGTTTACCTTCACTAAACAACTCTGATTGCATAGACTCTTGAGGGGTGCCAACATTCCCATCAACAGCTATTTTTCCCATACCTCCATTTATGCTGATTTGAATTTCACTTCTGATGCTATTGCTTTTCGTTTTTTGCTACACTTTCATCTTTATTGGTTACTTCCACCTTTCAAAGATCCATCTTTGTAAAACAGCACATGGGTTTATCAGGAGGAGGCACACAATTACAACCTTTGCTGTGAATATAATGAATTACAGGTGTGCAGTGCCCAATCACTGGCAGACCTTGAATAGAAGTGACATGATTGGTCACTTACAATTCATATCTGTTATTTAGGTAGTGATTTGTGAACTGAGGAATCCCTAAAGTCTGTACTTCATGCAGTTATTTACAGATAGTATACTTGTGTTAACAGAAAGTTGAATAGTGTTGCTGGGGGAATAGTGTTAGGTAACCAAATGTCATGCTTGTTAAGAGTACAGAATAAGGAATATCTATTCTTTCATTATTTTCCTCCTGGCCTTGATGCTATTGCCATGTACTTAACTTTGACATGTTATAAACTCCCAAACATTATTATTGTTTAACCAGCCAATTATCTTTTTAAGAGACTTAATAACTTTTTGAAACGTGTATTTACCCATGTGTTTATCATTTCCAACATTCATCATTCCTTTGTGTAGATCCATGTTTCCACTTTCCTAATTGCATTGCTGTCCTATATCTTGAAATCCACTTTTTCATGTAGTCTTTTTAAAATTTGGTTATTTCAGCAAGAAGGGTACATGTGGTCCTTGTTATTCCATCTTGTAACTAATACAACTAATCTGCAAGAAATTACTTTTTGAGTGTTAGTGTAATATCAAAGAAGAATATCCAAAATTACCTGAAAGAGACTATCACAATACTTCATCCTTTCCCAACTACATATCTGTATGAGACTGAACTTTTCTGTATACTTGAACTATAACAATTTTAACAAATTAAATAGCAAAATACATGTGAGAATGCAGTTATCTTCCATAAAGTCGAATACCAAAGAGTTGCCAAAAAGTAATGCTATTTTTTTCCCTCAGATTTTTGTTTTAAAAAATACGTTTTTCATAACAGGCGCATTTGTTAACATGTAATAGCTTTTAAAATATATTAATAAATATATCACTTCTAATATGGTAAATATCAACAGATAAAACCCACTTAAGCAAAAGCTTTTTTGGAGTCCTCAACTGCAGAGTATGAAAAGGCCCTAGGACTTAAAACTTCTGAATACCAGTACTCTACATAGTGTGCCTCTAACCACAAACCTTAACTGCTTGAAGTTTTATTAGCAGCTTGAGGTACGCCATTACATCTTGGACTAGGAAATTAGTTTTTCCCCAACAGATTTAAAACCAGAACATCCAGAAGGTACTAAAACAATGAAGTGAAATGAAGGCGTTTTAAAGTAGCTATGCATTTTATGTACTCTCTATTCTTTTGTTTAATAATTGAATGAAGAAAAGGCAACCTCTATGTGGGCTAATACAATCAAAACCTACCCACCTACCCACACAACGTATAGCAATCATCTATAATAAAAATTGGGATCAGAAAAAGTATTCTCTTGAGCTATAAGAGACCTACGGAATAGTAATGATATTTTTGGCACAAATGCCCAAAATGCTTTAATTCTTTCCTGTTAATTTTTCCATAGATAACTAGTTCTTATGAACTGTTTCCAGAGAGCATACTCAGTGGTTAAGGTCACAATATTTGGTATTAAGACTGTTTGGGTTTAAACTCTAGCTCCAACTTCTAAATGTGAGATTTTGAGAAAGTCAATCTGATTCCTTTTTCTATTTGTAAAATGGGTGTAAAAGTGTTACTTTATATTGTTGTTTTGAGAAGTAAAAATATAGTTGAAGCCATTTAGCAATGTTATTTAAGTCTAGCAATTACATTTAATTTCAATAGTGCCTATTAGCCAATGGGCTTTCAAAAGACACATCTGAAATAAAACACTACATCTACTCATTTATGAGGTCTAAGAGAAAGCAGGAGTTCAGTTTAGTTTTTGCTTTAGGATCCCACAAGTGATTATGATCACACCTGGCAAGAACTGAAACCCATGGTCAGATTCTAAATAATCACTTATGCTAGTGCCAGGCTTTATTTAAATTGTTCCTAGAAACATTCCCAACCCTAAAGCTGACAGAATCAAGAGTCAAATTGTTTCAAGTCAGGGAGGGCAGGATTTTTGCTGCCACATTCTGTCTAAATTCATTCAACATTTAATGAGTAACCGCTGGCTGTCAGTATCAGGTGGACAGAAATGAGTAAGGTGTCTACATTCTTGGTAACTTAGAAGCTGGTGGTTATTATATAAGGCAGTGTTTCCCATGGTATGATCTGCATACCACTGATTGTGTCTGCAGTAAGCCACCCAAATGTTCCTGGGATCAGGGTCATCTGTCTACAACAGGAAAAGATTAATGAGAGAAAAGCTCTACTTTGCAACAGGCTATTTTTCTGAAATAATGGCATTATTAGCAACAGTCTGAGATGCAGAAACAGCAGCAGAATGTTAGGGGGAAATTGCCAAGGCCTACCAGTTGTTCTTTCCCCTGTAGGAACAGATTCTCTACAGGCTTGGAAAGAGTAAAGCCAGGCAAACTTGTAGACAGCCCTCTGCATGCTCATTTATGGGCCACTCACCCCCTTGTGTTTCCAGTAAGGCTAAAGGAAGAATCAGGATACGAAAGGAGCATGGGATGAACAGCAGCAGTGACCCTAAAAACCAATCAGTTCAGATGTACTGGGCCACTACACCTGCCACCACCCAGATGTGCTATAAAAGTATCCTTTTTAAAAAAAAAAAAATAAAAAAAAAAAAAGGGAGTCACTTAGAGAAAACTATTATGTAAACAACACTATGGGCTTTGTAAGAATTTGGCAGAATTATCAGAGACACAAAATGACCAATTATAAAAGATGCTATATACAACTAAACAACACATAAGGCGATACAGAATTGCTCCACCAAAGACACAAGTAATCAGTACCGTTACGATCAGAGAGAAGCAATCAATTCCAATGAAGATGGTGAGGGCTGAGATTCAAAGAAACAGACTTATTAGGCTGAGTCTAAATGAATGAACAGAATAGGCTAAAAGTACTCGAAAAAAAGCAAGCAGTAAGCAGGGAGGAGCTTAAGCAAGGACAGAGATACTCAAAGCATAGTCAGAACACAGTGAAGCCAATTTTAAGATTCTCGGTTCTTTATTTTCTTACATAGAAAGTCCTTGCATTTATCTAGGTTATTATATATATTCTTAGAAAAATGCTATAGGTTAGCTAAACTCTAATACTCCACTGTATATATGAAAATACCATTTACAATATAATGTACAGACAGTCCCTGACATAAAACGGTTGACTTACAATATTTCAACTTTAAGGTGGTACAAAAGTGGTATGTGTTCAATAGAAACCATACTTCAAACGTTGATTCTTTCCCAGGCTAGAGATATGTGGTACAACATTCACACAACGCTGGGTATCACCTCAACTGATACGTTACAGTGTGTCATGTTGCCAGATGATTTGCCCAACTATTGGCTAATGTAAGTGACTGATTTGAGCATGTTTAAGGTAGGCTAGGCTAAGTTATGCTGTTAGGCAGACTAAGTGTGTTAAATGCATTTTTAACTTAAGGTATTTTGAACTCATGATGGGTTTACTGGGAAGTAACTCCATGGTAAGTCGAGGAACATCTGTATACCTAAAGGGCAGTAACTACCATAAGGCAGTGTTTCCCATGGTATGATGTGCATAGCACTGATTGTGTCTGCAGTAAGCAACCCAAATGTTCCTGGAATCAGGGTCATCTGTCATAGCTTTGAGACACCTCAGTAGCGGTAAATGCCACACCATGACAGCTGTTTCGTATCTCTAACTTTCCCTGGATGTCCTAAAAACCATTTAAGAGAAATAAAGCATCTTCCTTGCCTTATGCCCTCTAGTTGGATTTCTATTATTGGTTCAGCAAATTCCAAATAGGCAAAATGGCAAGAAAAGAAAAAAAAAAAAAAACAGTAATAGAGAAAAAAAAATAGTAAAGCAAATTAATTAAGGGGAAAATTACACAGTTACAGAAAAATTGAATAAATATTCTCATTTTTATATCCTGGGAAGACTAATTCTTTAAAGCAAAATAAGGAACAACGAACATTATCAAACAGTCTTTATTGTGCTTTTAATGACATACTTTGCTTTATGCTATAATTAATATTCCCTCAGTAATTTTATGTACTAATACTTTGAAGCAAACGGTTTAACTGTTTAGGTGTCCAAAGAAATCATTCTAACACTAGCACAGCATTAACTTGTCTATGACTTTGAAAACAGTATTACTTTCTCTTACTGATACAATAAAGAAGCTGGACCAGATGACATCTGAAGTTTCTGCCAGTTCTAAATGTTAATGATGCCACATTAGTTATGTAGACAATCCACTACTTCTTTTCTTCTAAACTGACTTCTTAAATCAGAGTTTTCCTAAACATGGTGGAAAGTTTCCAAAATGTGCCACATTTTAGAATTATTAAAATTGCAATCTACTTCTAAGAACTGAAAATAATTTCCTTACAAATAAAGTCCTTTATTTCTTATCAACCATGTTCCTAGAAATATGAATCTGGATTTGTATAAAAACCTTAAGCAACAGTTAATGAAAGTAAAACTAAAAAAAAATCTCTACTAACTTAGTAAGTTCAAGTTTTATATTAGGAAAAGACATTACAATAGGAAATAACATAGATTACCTATTTTTGAGAATCCTCTGCAATAATAGCATTAAAAAATATAACTATTTTCCTCTGTGTAATTTCTGTACATAATTGCTAACTTTCCTGAATTTCCAAAACTTACATGTAATGACTTTCAAATACATGTCAAGGAAATGTTTCATTTATCATTGCAAACACTGATTTATTAAATAAAATAGGAGTCTGGCCTTTATAAAAGTCAGCATTATGTTTCTCACAGAGAAATCAAGAAAAAAATTCCTATCACAGATAGTTATCAGTAGTCTTTGTGAAGTTTTCCAACGAATATTTCATTAAAGAAATGAAGTGGGAGCTGCATTTCCAGATGAGGCTTGTGCTTTAGCCATTCTTCGAACCAGCGCTTCTTGTCTTTTTCTCTGAATTTCTTCAGGAGAACACTTTCTATTTTTCTCCTCTTCCTCTGAAAATTCAACAAAAGATAAGTTTTACTTTTATTGCCTATAAAGTCATTCAATGTGTGCTTGAATTTTTGCTCTTTCATCACCCAGATTTGCCATACTGGTTTGACTAATAAATCAAAGTAAACTACTAAATACAAAATTCCAAGTATCTAATACAGATATAATGCTCCAGTTAAAAAGAAAATCAAGCACCGATCGATCTGTCTCTATTTGACACATTCTTTTCACAGTGTGATAAAATTCAATTTGATAGAAAACTATTTGACTATCCACCAAACAATTCTTGTGAACAATGACATCTCATTTATATGACCTATGAATAAATATATCTTTATAAAGGATACATTAGGATTTAAAATGTTACATAAACTTTAATAGGAAAGTAGTCAAAATATAAGAAATTATTTTAGCTATATCTCAAATCGTGTATATTTACATAAGTTATATTAATATTCAAATCTATTTTTTCCTTACAGAGCTATAAAAGTTTCATTTCATCCACAGAGGAAATATATTTTAGAGTGATAAAATAAAATCTCATATCAAACTGGTCACCTGTGACCTGTGATTGACTGCTGGAAATTATATTCTTATTTGGCAGATATATTTTGGAGAAACTTTAAAATAATCTCAATTAACTTAGTAAGTTGAAGATGTATCAGAAATCACTTTCTCATTTAAATGATACAAGTTTAAGACCATCACCCTAATACATGTTTAAGTAAACTTTTAAGAGTATAGCTGTTTATGTTGTAAAATATGCTTTTTAAGAAATAATCTGTAATATTGACAGAAGAGAAATATTGTTTATACTGACATTAGAAAAAGATTCAAAATTTATGAGACATTTTTCTTGTTAACTAACAAAGGCGTTTTCCAAAAGACATCATCTGTCTCTCTTTCCTTTCTTGGTATAATCAGAAATGGAAAGGGGTACTCAGGCTAAGAAATACATATTTTAAATAAGTTCCCCAGATGACTTTGATGACTTTATTTCCTAAGCTATTTACCTAACAAACTATAGCTATTTTTCCCTACAGAAAGACACCAGAAGATACTTTCTGTAGGGAAATTAGTTTGGCTAATTATCTAATGCTTTAGTCTCAAAGTTAAGAAACACAACAAACTCAGACCACACCTACAAAGACTTTACATTGAATTTGACTGTGTGGAAAGAAAACAGGTTAATAATATACAACAACAGAAAATATAACTAAATTCATCTTACAATTTGCTTGGTAATATTACAGAAAATAATTTCAAATGATAATCAGGTCACACCATGAAAATCTGATTTAAGGAGTTACCCATTTTTCCCATCAAGTCTTTCCTTTAACTCAATCTATAATAAAAAGACACAGCAAATCCTTAACTATTGTAAAGTACTAAGCAAAAGCTGCTTTTCTTAATCTTGATCTTACATGCAAAGTCAGTTATGTATTTTTTTTTTCTGTAAAGGGTCGCAAAGCATGCATGGTAACCTCTGAGTATCTTGTTGCAAGTGTTCACCTGTACCACTGTACCAAAAATAGTCATGGATAATGTATAAATAACTGATGAGCTGTGTTCAAATAAAACCTGTTTATGGACAATGAAATCTGCGTTTCATATAATTTTCAATGTATATTTCAATGTCATGAAATATTCTCCTTTTGATTTTTTTTCAACCATTTAAAATGTAAAATCCATTTTTAGTGTGCTGGCTGTACATAAACAAGCTGCAGGCTAGATTTGGACAGATCATAGTTTGCCAACTCCTGCCTGAAATCACTGAGGGAGTTAAGTGAGGTTTGTTTCAGAAATATTTCCCTGGAGAGCAGCTTGCTAAATACCTAAGTAAAAGGAAGTAGAAACAATAGAAAACGTCAACAAGGTTAATATTAAGAGATTCGGTACTATCAATAATCTTAAATAAAATATTGATAAGGTAAACTAAAAGGCAGATTACCCATAAAAAATGCAGATAGATTGGTAGATAGGACTTTTGGGAAAAGTCAAATACTCCAGAAGGTTTAGTCTTATCGAATTATAACTACAGTTGACCCTTGGACAACATGGGCTTAAACTGGCAAGTCTACTTATTTGTAGATTGTTTTCTGCATCTGCCACCCCTGAGATAGCAAGATGAGATGGCCAACTCCTACTCTCTTCTTCCTTCTCAGCCTACTAAACATGAAGATTATGAGGATGAAGACCTTTATAAGGATCTACTTTCACTTAATGAATAGTGAATACATTTTCTCTTCCTTACGATTTTCTTAATAATATTTTCTCCAGCTTATTGTAAGAATACAGTACATAATTCATATAAGAACATAAAAAATATGTGTTAATTAATTGTTTATGTTATCAGAAAGGTTTCTGGTCAACAGCAGTTAAGTTTTTGGGGGATCAAAAGTTATACAGACTTTCGATTGCAAATCAGATCAGCACCCCCATTGTTCAAGGGTCAACTGTTATCTGTTAATAAACTCATGCTGAGAACCTGCTTGAATTGGCTACAGTATACTCACTTTAATACAAATGTAAATACTTAAAATTATCATAGATTGAGAACAATTTCTAACATTCCAAAATATCTAGTTTGGATTATAGTTTAGAGCAAGTTTGTCCAACCCACAGCCCGAAGGCCACGTGCACCCCAGGACAGCTTTGCATGCGGCCCAACACGAATTCATAAACTTTCTTAAAACATGAGTTTTTTTTTTTTTTTTTTAGCTCATCAGATATTGTTAGTGTCAGTGTTATTTTATGTGTGGTCCAACATAATTCTTCCAGTGAGGCCCGGGGAAGCCAAAAGATTTGACACCCTGGGTGTAGGGAATTATTTATTGTCAGTGGTGATAAGATAAACTGGTATAACTGCTTTGTACAGAAATTTGGTGGTATCCATCAAATTTTATAACTTTCTCTTGTAGTAATTTTTTAGGAATTAACAGATATAATTATATAAGAATGTAGAAATTTATGTAGAAGGATATTTACTGGAGTATTGTTTGTGATTGCAAAAAACTGCCATCAACCCAAACTTCCACCACAGAGAAACAGTTAAATTATGGTACATCCATACATATCACATAGTCATTAATAGGACTAAAATAAATTTATGTGTACTAATAGGAAAAGACAGCTATAATATATTAAGTAAAGGCAAAAGCAATTGCCAAATAGTGGGTATACAGATTTATTAATATTTAAATAAATCTATAGGTATATACACATATATATGTGTATAGACACACATATATCTTTTTATATGCATGGAAAATGCTACATAATGTATAACAAACACTTAATAATGGTTTCCCCTAAGGAATGGTTATGAGAAAGGAGAAATAGGAGACTTAACTTTTCACTTCAAATTATTCTATACTGTTTTACTTTTCTTTTTAAGCAACTAGCATCTTACTGTTGTAAGTTTTTAAAAAAAGTCACTTAAATAGGAAAGTTGTAGTGGTTATGTCAACAAGACAGAGAAGAATCACTAAATAAGAAATAATTAAGAAATAAAAAATAAACAAGGAGAAGATCTATTTACAGACTCTTCAAAGAAGGCCCTTGTGAGAAAGTAGTACTTATATTGAGCTGCAAGAAAGCACCAACAAAAGAGTGGCGGAGGGGTCACATGTTGAAAAGAAGTAGTTTTAATCAAAGAAAAGAGCAGTCTAAGTTCCTGAACAAGAAACTAAACTGTTTGAGAAACTAAAAGATAGCTGGTGTAGCTGAAACTTGGTAAGGAAAGAAAGAGGAGGCAGGTTAAAAAGAGATAATCCACAGCTTTGTTGGTCATAGTATAAGTTTGGATTTTATTTGAAATATGACTGGCAGCCATTTAAGGTTGTTTTAAATACAGAAATGCCTTCTTGCCCATTTAATTTTAAAAGACTATTCCACTATTTTTGCCCATCTAATTTTAAAAGACTATTCCATCTAATTTTAAAAGACATTTCCACCATTTGGAGATGAGAATTGAAAGGGGACAGATAAAAGAACTGCAGTAGTCTGGTCAAGAAATATTAACTTGGTGTAGAAAGAAAAATGGATAGTTTTGGGATAAGAAACAATGAAACTTATTGATAGAATGGAGACTTGGGGAAAAGAGGAATTGGAAGAATCAGAAATGATAGGTGGTACCAAGTTAAGTAAATCATAATTTTAACCATCACCACTAGCAGGTTTATATCAAATACCTCACAAGTAAAGATGTTTAATTAGAATGCTCTAAATTTCTAAATATTATTCACATCACTGCTCCATCATTACTCAAGTTTTAAATAAGATTACTCAAGTTTTAAAACAATGAGATATTTAGGAAATGCAATCCTAAAATGAACACTGTAATATATATAAGTATGATTTTCCAAGAAAGAATAAATCATTTGAAAAATATTTACTGGGTACCTACCATATGCCAGTCGTTGTATTCAATGCTGGGTAAGAACTCAATGTAATATTTTGAAAATTAAACCAACTACTCTTCTTATAATACAGTATAATTATAAGTATTATTTTAAGAATTCTAGTTGTCATAGTTTTATCTTATACATTACACACTCAAAAACAACAAATAATTATTTTACTACTTTTAAAGATAATACTTTTCAAGGAAAACTATTTCATATTTCATACATACCTTTTGAAGATTGTTTTGAATATTCAGAAAGCTTCACCGAAGATTGCTGTTGAACAGCTCCCTCCAGTATTGGGTTGACACTTTTCTTTTTCTCCACACCCAGTGTAATTTTGGAATCAGACACACTTCCAGTTACATAATCTTGATTGAACTGAGAAAGAATCTGAGAATTTTTCGTCTTTGTAAATGTAAATTTTGGAAATCCAACTGTTTTGTTAAGGCTGCTCTGAGCTTCATCTGTTACAGTGCTATGGCATAGTTGCTCAGTATTCAATTTCTTCTTGTAAGTAGAAATTTCTGTACTCCTATGAGCTGAAGTTACATTCAAACTTGAACTTCCTGAAAGAACCAATTTGGAACTACTCACTTGTACTGGAACACAAGTGTTAGTACAAGAGACATGCAGATTATTTATCTGACAGTTTGAGATTTCAGAATATGTAGTCGAATTCATGGCACTTAAAAAACTTGGAGGATTTCCATGCATTTCCCCTTTCTCCATCTTCACTGGCTTATCTATTTGTAAGCTATTTGTCAAAGATGTCTGCACTGAAATGTTGCCTGGATTCAAATGCCTTGATTGTACCCAATTACTTCCTTGTTTAGATACAGTAAACATGTTTTTGGCTCCACGTTCAGAATTGTTATTGATCTTACGTATACTTTCTGATGTGTTACTGTCCTTTCTGATGTCTTGTTGCTGAGTTAGTCTTTCAATATCATCACATGCTTGGTACAACAAATCATCATCTACATCATCTGCTTCCCAGGTATTATCTAATTGATGACATGCTTTAATAATTTCATGGGCAAATGAGGGATCATTCCAATCATCAAAGAAAGAGCCTAATTTCGATGCACTGGTGTGATTTGGGTTACTAACACTGGTTTTATTGCCTAGATTTGCAGAGCCAAAAAGATCAGTATTAACATATGATTTAACAGACTGATTTAAAATGCACTTACTTTTCTGTTCATTAGAATATCCTGTATTCAAAGCAGACTTCTTTTCAGAAGCATGTACAGTACGAGTAAATTTAGTATGAATATCTTCCTTTATTTTTGTCAGATTAGATGTAACTGTACAATCTTGAATTTTGTCTTGAATAACAATTTTATTGGCAGAGTTTTCAAATTTCATTTTATTTTCAGTGGATGATAATTTATTTGATTTATCTGAATTTGGTGAAAATCTATATTCTGCATCTATTAATTCTCTATCATATGTCTTTGAAGAAAGATCTTGTAATACCTTTGAATCTTCTAACCTGGCATCTAGACTTGTATTTACTCTTGACGTATTTTTATCATTTTTACTATTAAAGGTACAAATTCCCTTTTGATCAGTAACCTGGGCTGTTTTAGAAGGGAAGAGTTCAGGCATGTTGACATTTTGTATAACAAAAGGTTCATTACCTATTAAGTTTTCCCATTCATCCTCAAAATCACTGGTAGTAAATGCATCAATGTACTTATTAGAAGTTTCTGGCTCCTCAGTACAGGAAGTCACACATGATTTTGTCATTATGGGTGTATCTACTTGAGAAGAAAGTGATCGTGGGGTTTTATTTGGTAGTTTTTCAACGACCAGAGTTTCATTAGTATTAATTTTCTCCTCTTTCAAAGCATTTGTCTTTCCAAAGGTAGTATTACTGGTGGTCCAAAAAGCCTCTGGCAGTTCTTGGCTTAACTGTCCACTACATTTCTGAGTAGAAGCATCAAAAATGGCATTCAACGCTGCTTCAGCAGTTTGGTCAAATGGCTTCTGACTGCTATTTTGATCACTTGCCACAGATATCTTGTTGTTTCCTTTGATTGGCTTCTTTTTTGTAGCATTATCTATTTCGGGAACTATATTATGTAATGACTGCATCCGTATATTATCTTTATAATTACTTAAAATCTCTGTTTCTGAAATCATCTGGGTAAAATCATAATTCCTCTTGTTTTGTTCTTCTAGCACATCGAGCTCTTCCATATTTTTATCAAATTGTTTAGCCAGTTTCATAAGTTCTTCTTCTTGATTTTTTGTTTTTAACCTATTAAACAAGATTAAAAAATTATAATTAAAAATGTTGAGACATTATATCCAATTTTATTTAACATATTTTGATGTTAAACCTCGAAGATTTTAATGCTTATGATTATTTTAACTGCAAAATTTCATAGATCAAAACTATGGAAATTTTATTAACAAAAATGTTGATATATTCACAAAACTAAACTGGAGTATTATCAAAAATATTTGCATTACTGACTCTCAGAAAAGCTGAAAAGTCTTAACTTACTTTGTGCAGCTGATTTTTGCTCTGGATTTTCCTTTTGCTACACTGGGAGTACAAGGAATAGCAGTTTCACCAATCCACACATCCAGCATAGAATTTGTTGTTGGTTTTTCATCCTTTGGCAGACAGGGGGAAAAACGGTATAAAGTACCAATGCAGCACCCACCCTTCCAAAAAAAAGAGGAGAGGAGAGGGAGAGTGGTAGAGGAAGAGAGGGAGAGAGGGAGAGAGGAAGAGAGGGAGAGAGGAAGACAGGGAGAGAGGAAGACAGGGAGAGAGGGAGACAGGGAGAGAAGGAGAGAGGGAGAGAGGGAGAGAGGAAGAGAGGGAGAGAGGAAGAGAGGGAGAGAGGAAGACAGTGAGAGAGAGAGAGGGAGAGAGGGAGAGAAGGAGAGAGGAAGAGAGGAAGAGAGGGAGAGAGGAAGACAGGGAGAGAGGGAGAGAGGGCTGAAAAAAGAAAAAACTAACTTTTGAATTAATTTCCTATATTCTGGTGAAGTAATAGTTACCAAACAAACTCATTCAGTGAGAAGCTGGGAAACAGCAATAATAAGCTCCAAGAATTGATCCACTTATGTTTCAGAAAATGAAAATGTTCAGAATTAGAAATTGTTTATTTTCAAAAAATACTGTTTTAAGAATTTATCAAATGTACATTTAATAATAGAAGTATATGCTTTTATCAAAAGAAAATGGACATTCTAATTGTCATAAAATACTTATAAAAACATTAGTGTCAAAAACCATGTTGCAGAAATCATCAGAATTGACAATAAAGAGATACATATGGAATTATTTCTGTATCATCTGATTCTCCAAATTTTCTTTACCTTATTACAGTCTTTATCTAAAGTTGGACCATCCATGTTGACCTAAATTAGGAATACTCAGAATTAAGGTCAGGACTGAATTAAGAGATAAGAGCAAGGTTAGAACTGATGCTAAGAATGAGGCAGGAATAAGAATAAAAAATAGAGAAAGCAGAAAAGTTTAACCAGGATAATATATAGAAAAAAGGCATTTTAGATCTGGATATTTTTACTGTATCTTTCAGTCACTTGATCATGCAAAAAAATGAAGAGAATGAGCTTCAGGCATTAATTGCAAACCAAACCAACAAATCAAATAAATTAACCATTTTCACTCTATTTTATAGCACCTAGAATGAACATAAATATCACACAAGGTAAAAAATAATCTTATTACCAGATTATAGGCTACTCAAAGCAAGGACTCTTCCTAGGATAGCTCAGCATCTAGCACAATACTGGGCATAAGAGTGTCAGTTTACATTTATTTACTAGAAGGTTTAGGTGAAGACATCCTACATCTTGGTACTTCAAATCCTCAGTGATTCAAAAAGCAGTTTTCTTAATGTCGATTTGAACCTAGTTGCCTTTAGCTTTGCAAATACTCAAGAAAATCAGTAATTTCACTTTCAGACTCAATATATATTTTCCCTTTTGTTTCAATAATAACCTTGAATTTAAAGAAAATAATAGTCTTAATTATGAACTCCGCCACCTACCAAAGTAATTTTAAATTCATTCAATTTTCAGAGAACTAAATTATGACTTTACGTACCCAACTTTATATATACATGGGTCCTATGTATGTTTGTAAACTATTTATATGTGTTATATATTACATATTTCTTCATTAATAATTACATAATTTATTGATTTCCAACCATAATCCAGATGCTATATAAGGTATCTAAATGCATTACTTCACTTCATTGTAAGAAGTATATACTGTGCAAAGCTGTATAAATGAAGATATATACTATCTTCAAATAACATTGTATAAAAAGTATCCCTGCAAAAAGTGAATTGACTGTCCAATTAAAAGTGCGTCTTAAAAAAATTGCTATCTCTGAAAATGTTAAAAGAAAATTAAATAATGATTTGAGAATGACTCACCTAAAAATAAACAATATAAATATTTGTCATTCTGAGAACATGACAAGCTTTCAAACAGACATGAAACTACTGACAATTTATATGCTTTAAAAGTACTCAGTTTAAGAGGGTAACATTTTAAAGCTACTAATTTAACTGTATTTTTTTCTTTTACACAAGTTACTACTTGCATACTGTTGCCATTTCTTTATATGAACTAATGTTTCCAGCCCACTTAGGTAAAGGGTCCAATAATTTATTCGCAACTATCTTTTTATCACTATTTAGGCTGGCCAGCCCAAACACATTTTATTATGCTTCTTTGATGTGAAAACCACAATTAATGAAGATCTATTGTTTAACTTCGAGAGTAAGTACTATTATGGCATAAATGCTATTTAACAATGAATGGTAAGTAAATTTCTATGACATGTTAAATATGGAATGTAGATCTAGTAGCAACAGAGTTGTTTTGACTGTGCTAGGTGTAATTTTGGATATTTTATAGCTGCTAAGAAAAACTTCATTTGCTGTCTCTTCCACCTGGATGACAGTCATCCTTCAAACTACGTTTTGGACCAGTGCCATGTAATTGTTTATAGTCAACATATAGTAACTATTCAAGGACATGTTAAGGGAAAACAGCATACTTCCTTTACAGAAGACACTAAAGCAAAAATGTTCTTGGAATTAAATGTTATTAAATAAGAAAAAGAGAACAAAAAATAGAGAAGTTCAGAACAGTTTTATGTATTAAGCCTTTGCTTCTCAGTAATTGTCATATAATATTAGAGTTATTGGATTGCTTTGTGTCAAATGATTGACTTGAACATATTTCTGTTTCACTCAAACAGGACAAGAACTGAAATGAAAAAAAGAAATGAAAAAAATTTTTTTAAGAGACGGGGTCTTAAACTCCTGGCCTCAAGTAATCTTCCTGCCTCCACCTTCCTCCCAAAATGCTGAGATTACAGGTGTGAGTCACCATGCCTGGCCAAGAAAAAAAACTTTGGAGATGGTTCTATTACAGTAATAACCTTAACATAGCCTTACAATTATAGCACTCCATAGTTTACAAAGAATTTTTATGTAGTTTAATCCTCATAATGATCTAATAAAGAGAGCAAGAGCAAGACAAATAATAATTCTAGTTCATAACTGAATGAACTGAGGTGATAAGAGTTTAAATAACTCGCACTGGGTCACACAGCACAGGAGGCTGAATGAGGACTAAAACTGAATTCAGTGATCTCCACTTTTGTGTTTCTTGATGATCTTGTAAGTCAATGAGTATTAAGAAGAACAGTTTCAATGGGGAAACGTTATACTACAGACAGTAAATACCAATCACAAAACAACAATAAAAGTTTAAATTTTTTTGATTGCCTTATTCTATTATTTTAGTAACTTGAAAAATGATGCCATATGTTGTTAAGCACATTAGATAAAAACACACAAATGCCCTAGTAAAAAATTACTCTAAAAAATTAAAATAACATATATACTTAGGAAAATATCTATTACTAGTTTTATATTATGTTCCTTTTTTCAAAATATGCATTTCAAAAGCAGAAGAGGCAAAACAGTAATTTTTGCTGCCTTATTTTTGGAAGAAAGAATTATACAAGACAATACTTTTCATTTAAAGAAACTGTACAAGAACTTAGTAGCACATTCTTCACTGTTTTAAAACAAACTATAAAACTACTGATATTTACCTGAGGAGCAATACGATTAACAATATGTGAAATCTCATCACTATCTGTGGTGTAAATCCGTTTTTTTCTTACTTTACCTAAGGAAATAAAGACATTTCTATAAATTATAAACAAAAAACCCTCAATTTTAAAAAGTACCTGTCACTTCTTAGAAAATAATTTTAATTAGTGCAGCTTAGAGGATTATGTGTTTATATCACATACTTACACAGATAAAATCATTTAAGATTCTCAGAAGTGCCCGATGCTATTATCTGACTAGAATTCTAGTTAAATCTGAATCATTTACCAAACATTTACCCACATTAAAAATGTTCATAATGAATTACCTAACTGCTTTGTCAATGGAGAATTCTGATCCCAAAAGATATCATTCTGTCCATCTGGATCATTAGGAGAACTGAAGGAAGACGACAGTAAGTCCATTTTCAGCATTCTCTTTGGTGTTTCATACCTTTCTATATAAAATATGATTAAAATTACAATTGTTGCATTTTAAAGTATTACCTTACTTCATAATACCCTAAAGTCAATTATAGCTTAGCCTTTAATAGTCCAATATAATTTTTTCCCCAGAGATAAGTACCTGAACCATAAATGAAATGATCGTTTCATATAAAAATCCATGCAGCACTTGCCAATCTTGACATTGTAAATAGCAAGCACTTTTAGATAATCTAGAAGGTCTATGAATGCATAATACAATACTGTATAACCTACGTCATTCTATTTATTCTCATTGAGACTTGGAGGCTTTGGGGAACCACCTATATTTATAGGTACACTTCAAAAATCAAAAGTATCTTAACAAAAATCTAAATATCCCCTTTCATCAACTCTATCCAATCTACATTAATTGTGATTCTTTAAAAAGCATTAGTAATCAAATGCTTGGGAATTTTTGTCTAGGATCACTTTCAAATTTTTATAAAGATTTTTGTTCTTTCCCGAATTGCTTTATGGGAGTACTATTAAAGACATGTAAGGTAACAAGCGCTATTTCAAGAACATGCTCCAGAATAAAGGCTTTCGTATGAGTTCCAATTCCAAATAATATTGACTAGAAATCTTTTAGAAAGGAACACCAAAAACTAGTCGAGATAAAAGGGGTCCTTAGTATCTTACTTGGAGGGATGTTACACATAGCAACTTCCGGTTTATTCATAATGAGGTGAGATACCACCCAGGCTTTGAGACAAACTTTAACTTTTCGTATGGCCTCTTCTCTAAAACAAGTCGGGGGTCGGGGGGAAGCTTTAAAGAGAAATAACTTCTCCGGGCATAAACTGAGGACAGCGGACCTATCAGCTCTTTCTCCTGGCTCTGCCACCGCTGCTGCCTGGAGGAGCAGCCTAGAAAGCCGCCGCCTTCCCGCAAACAGGTAAACCACATGACCTATTACTGTGGAGGTGGCAAGTGGATGGTCAAACCTAACGGGGTAGTGCTCAAGCTCGAGGACAAAAGCCCAGCGGGGAGTGGTAAAGGGTTATTTCTGAACTCTCGAGGGGTGAATCCCAGAGAAAGAATACACACTCCAGACTCCACCCCCACCCCTCATTTCCCTGTTCCAAGCGGGACTGTGGGGATGCAGCGCCAAAGCCAAGGCAGGCCGCGCTGCCGACGTCTCACCCTCGGGGTTACTTTTACTGCACAAGGCGGCTGCTGGAGGCTGCTCTCGCTGCCGCACTGGCCCGGGAGGCCCCTCTTTAGCCCCGCGGGGCCACGAATCGTGGGCCGGCCTCAGCCACCTCCTCCCTGGCTCGACCACCGAGCCGCATTCCTCGGTCGCCGCTGTTTTGTGCGGCGTGTTCTTCGGGCTGGGGCTGTCATCAAGTTTCCTCCGCCGACTCATTGCCTATGACCCGCCTCCACCAGCCGCCGCTTTCACATTTTGCAAAGGGATGAGCAGGGCAACCGCACTACAAACGAGACTCCACGTTAGCGGTAGCCGCCATTTTGGCCGGTGGGGCGCGCGCAAGAGGCGGCCGCTGATTGGCTGCGTCTGGGAGAGGGGCGGAGCTGTTAAGGTGCCAAGGGCGCACGGGCGCGCGCGCTTCCGTAGCCGGGACAGGAACCTGCTCTGGAGGAGGGTCTAGGCTCAAATTCCTCCGGACTGCGGGCGCTCACACCTGCAATCCCAGCACTTTGGGAGGCCGAGGCGGGTGGATCACGAGGTCAACAGATCGAGACCATCCTGGTCAGCATCGTTAAACCCCGTCTCTACTAAAAATACAAAAAATTAGCTGGGTACAGTGGCGCGTGCCTGTAATCCCAGCTACTCAGGAGGCTGAGGCAGGAGAATTGCCTGAACCCAGGAGGCGGAGGTTGCGGTGAGCTGAGATCGCGCCATGGCACTCCAGCCTGGGTAACAAGAGCGAAACTCCGTCTCAAAAAAAAAATAATAAAAAAAAAATTCCTCCGGACTAGAAGGGATTATAGGGGTAATAAACTGAGTGGGAGCTTGTGAGATGGAAAGGAGATTGAATACACTAACAGCTTTTTATTGAATTTACATCGAAAATTGCACCTCAGATTCATATTAAGGGTCTTCGAATTTGTCAAGAAGAGGAGATACAGCTAATTTTTCATAGTTGCTATATGTTCATAGAAAAATCCAAAAGATATCCTCCAGATCCCAGAATGGCAGATCCACCAACAGATTGCAAAAAAAAAAAAAAAAAAAAAAAAAAAAAAAAAAAAAAAAAAAAAAATTCCAAAACAAAGTAGAAAAAATAACTAAAATAATAATTTAAGAGTTGTGGGATACAAAGTCAATATTCAAAGATCAATGTGTTTCCATAGATTAGCAACAAATATAAAATCGAAGTTTTAAAGCGATACCATTTATAATAGTATATGAGATAACAAATAACTAGAAATAAGTTAAAGATTGTCCTTCCTACAAAGAAAACTATAAAACATTTTTGAAATAACAGGAAGACCTAAACAAATGGTTATACTATATTCATGGGTTGTGGGACTCAATATTGTTACAGTGTCAGCTATTTCCAAATTGATCTATAGATTCAACATTAATACATCCAAAGTCCCAAGAATCATTTTATAGTGTGTGTGTGTGGGGGGGGGGGGGCAAGTTTTTGTTAAATTTACATGAAAATGCAAGGGACCAAAAATATCAATAAACTCTTGAAGATCTCTTGAAGAATAATGAGAGTAGATATCAACCAGGTATCAAGACTTATGTAAAGTTATGGTAATTAAGACAGTGTTATAATGGAGATGGGATAGATAAAGATGAAAGAAACAGGGTAGCACAGGAACGGACTTCCACATAAATGAACACGATTTGAGACAAAGATGACCCTCCTGAGCAATGGAAAAGGGACTTTTGAAATTAAATGGTGCTTGGTCTGTTTGATATTCACTTAGAAAAAGAAAGAAACATGACCTTTACCTCAAACTTTACCCCCAAATCAGGTACATATTCATTATAAATTTAACTGAAAAATATAAAATAATATTTTAGAAGGTATAAATTGTGTTCATAACAGAATGCATTTAAAATAAAACCAGGCATAAATTTGACTATATAAAATTGATAACTTGAGAACTTCTGTCCATTCAAAGACAACATTAAAGAGAATGAAAGGAAAGGCACAAATTGGGAGAAAATATTTGGAAGACATATTTAAGGGCCCATATATAGGTTATATGAAGAACTGATACAAATTAAGGAAATGACTGACCATCAAAACCAAAAGTGGATGGGACACTTGAGCAGGATCTTTGCAAGAGAAAATATTATCAACAAACTTATAGAAAAATCAGAATCATTTTTAATCAGGAAAATGCAAATGAAAACCATATTGGAATGGCTAAAATTAAAAAGACTGACAATGTGGGTATCAAGGAAGTAAACCAATGGAAGCTTTCATGTACTGCTGGTGAGAGTATAATTTGGTACAACCACTTTGGAAAACAGTTTTTGATCTAGCTCTAAGGAGTATTCTCTGTGGAAATGAATGGACTTGTTCATCAAGATACATTTTATAAAAATGTTTTGGTGGGATGCGGTGACTTATTCCTATAATCCCAGCACTTTGAGAAACTGAGGCAGGTGAGTTGCTTGAGCCCAGGAGTTTGAGACCAGCCTGGGCAACATGGCGAAACCCCATCTCTACAAAAAATACAAAAAATTAGCTGGGAGTTTTGGTGCATGGCTATAGTCCTAGCTAGTAGGGAGGATGAGATGGAGGATCTCTTGATGAGGATGAGAGGGAGGATCACTTGAGCCCAGGAGTTGAGTTGAGGTGAGCCATGATTGTGCCACTGCATTCCAGCCTGGGTAACAATAAAAAAAAAAAAAAAAAAAAAAAGGAAGGAAGGAAGAGAAAAGGAAAGAAAGAAAAAATGCTTTTAGCAGTAAAATTCAATTCAAAATTACTTTATACTGTAAGCAGATGAAATGCCTTTCAACAGTAGAATGATAAATATATTGGACTATATTCACACCACAAAGTAGTAATGAAAATGAAAAACTACAACTCTGTATCACATGGATAAATCTCACAAAGATGAGCAAAAAAAGCTAGACCTCCTAACCCTCCTCCATAATATTAAATAAATCCCACATAAAGTCCGTGAGGCAAAATTCTACTATATTATATAGGGATGTAAGCTTTAGTGTTAAAACGGTAAAGAAAAATCTAGGAATGATTACCATAAAAGTCAGGATAATGGTTACTTTCAGAGGGTGAAGGGACAGTGATTAGAAGTGGACAGAGGGAGGAGAGAATTTCATGTATTTATTGGCTTTGTTTATTTTTATATTCTAGTTGTTAATTACAAAAGTATTTGTTTTGTGATAATTTACTGAGCTATATACATTTTTTTCACTGTCTACATACGTTGTATTTATCAATTCAAATGTTTAAAAATTTTAATGTAAGGCAAAGATCTTAGTTTCCACTGAGGAACTGATATATTTCTTCTATCTTGTAAACTATTCTGTTTTTACTCTTCAGTTTGGCTGACAGAAATCCTAGAACTAAATTTGAGATTCAGGTCTGGCAGTTAAATAAACCATATAAATCACTGTGAATAGATAATTCCATTATTTTTCCTCAGTGTTTGACCTTCTACCAATACTTTTTATTTCTATGATTGTTTTTAACCTACATGTATTTAAACCATTGTTTAGTTTTATTTATTTATAACCCAATAAGACTGTTTTTGATTACAAATGATGTTGTATCTTCTAAAATTCAAATTAATTACTTAAGCCTTCATTTGTATAAATTAGTAGATATATTATTATTTCTTTCACCAATCTCTCCTACCTGTGAAGTGACCAAAAATCCTAGAAGTACTTTAAAAAATTTTTAAAAAGAACTTGATTTACCCAAATAAATATCCAACTCACATTAAGAAAATAATTTTAAAGAATTCAGTGATGTTTATAGGAGAAATAACCATGTCTTATTTTCTTAAAGCATAATAATGCTGCAAGTAAAATCACAGTGAATACTTTACCGTAACTTCAGATTATTTAGTGCTCAAGTAACCATTGTTGAAATGGACAACTTGAGCCTGAAGAACAAACTTGTTATCTTAACGTACCTAGGATTGCTGTACCCTGTAATCATTATGTGGTAGGAAATTACAGTAAATTTTAACTTGAAAATTACTTATTTCACATAATCTGTTACATTTCTAAATGTACTTGAAATTAGATATACTTACTGAATGTAACTCCTGAAAAAGTATAGCACAATGAGCTCCTTAATAAAATGTTCTTAATATGAAGCAAAAGTCTTATAGATTTTTAAATGCAATATGATTCATAACTCAGCATTTCTAGGCATTTGAATACTTTATATATATAAGTAAGGTTTAATGCAACTAAAAACTTTAATAAACCAAAGTAAAACTCTTGCTTGTTTCACTTATAGGGATTAGTTAAAACTTGACAATAATTATTAAGGGAAAATTTGTGACACCGAAGGTCTGAGTGACAGAGGAGCTTCTCTGCCAGTCATTGCCTCCTTACTTACATTACAGTGATGGGTCAATGCTGCTGTGTCAATGGCTATGAGTAGCCTTCCTTTCAAGAAAAAAAAAAAAAGCAAAAACAACAAAACCATAATTATGTGAATTATGTTTATATTTTATATACAGAGCTCCAGCTTTAAATCTATGAGAGTGCATTTGGCAGAATCTGAACAAGCAATAAAATGATTAGAAGTTTTTTGTTCGTTTGTTTGTTTTTAATAGTTTTGTTACTATGTGTTCATACCAAAATGTACCTGAGTAAGTGCTGGGCCCATTTTTCTTTAGTCCTGACCTACCAGCAATTGTATTAGCTAGAACCACCTAGCATGCCTAATTGCCTCATCAGGAGCCTCTGCTACCTAGGTGACCATGTCTGGCCAGACAGGCCCAATCAAGTAAAAATGACTGTACTAGACATGGGCAGCTGATTTTAGGAACCAGTCCATATCCTGGCTCTCCACCTCTGACTGACACCTCTGACTGAATTGAAACAATCATATTCTGTCTTGGAGATTTAACTAAGAATTTGCTAGAGGGCCCTGTGCAAAACCATGGCAGGCAGAAACTATGAAGAAGCTTGCTCAAAGTGGAACTGAAGGAAGCAGCAAAATTATGCAGACTGGGGACCACTGGAATCTACTTCTGTTGATTCTGGATACCTTGAAACCCAACCACCATTCAGCTTCAATGTCCATAAGAGCAGATTTTACTGTGATACCATTCCTTTTTTCTTTCAATGTGAGCCCTTACAGTAAACTTCCTTTGTTAGGTGGGGGCCAGCTAATGCCAGTTGGTCTCTATTTCTTACAACTAAAAAGAAACCTGAACTAAAATATAGAGAAAAACACCAGGATTGGGTCAAGGATTGTAGTCTAATCGTTTCTCAGTTAAAGGAATATTATTTTGAAAAGTTCAAAATAGAATGAAACAAAATCCTATTTAAAGATGAAGCTGGAAGTTAAAATAT